TGTCTCCAACGTGCCCTTCAGAATATAACCAACCACTCCCATGAACGGCGTCCGCAGGTTTCTGGGTGCCGCTGGGGTGTCGACCAGCCCATCGCCGCCATCGACCTCGAGGGAACTCCCCAATCCTTCTCTTTCCTTTGCTACAAAACCGCTCAACGGACCCTCATGGCCACCACCGTCTCCAAGTACTACGGCGCCACCCACAGCTGCCCTCGCCATCAAGAAGGAGTCGTCTATCCGACGCTTACAACCGACACCACCGCCGGACGGTGATCATGCTTGAAACGCCTCCTTTGACCCGAGCTAACGCCGATATGCAGACTCTCCGCTGCCAACTACTAAAGGCCTCACACTTCGCAAATTGATGATCCAGAACCAGTTTCTCTCAGACAAGCGTAGCTCTGGGGCGAACAGCGTCTCGGGCGCTACGACAAAACGAGATGAATTACTACTTAGTCTCTTAGCCTCACAGGCCGTTGTCGATAGCCGAGATTTTGAAATTCTGGACTCTGAACAATACGAAGAACTGACCAAGGTATTACTGGCCATTTCGACAGGGAGGATCCTGTCACTTGCTAACTTTGCTGTCAGGAACACCAACTCCTTTCTACTCGGCTTGAAGCCATGTCCAGAAAGTTGACAACTGAGACTAGGATACGCGATGCCGCCGTATCTCTCTCCAAAATAAATGCTTCTTCTAAAAGGGTTTCTCAACAAACCGAGGAACAGCTCACAGCTGCCAACAAACGTGTGGATGCTGCGCACCAAGAGTTGTTCCGATTGTCAGAACGCACACACGAGGTGCACAGGCGTCTACTGGAACATCGTGCGAGTGTTCTGTCACATTCGCTACGCAATTTGGAGCAGGCAGCGACGCAAGGCTCACTAAACGGGGCTGGAGAAGATTCAGGGTACGACTCGTCGAATCGAAATACACTGATGAGCCCTGCCACATCCAGTCTGACGGGTCTCTCTACGTCTACTGGTGCAAAAGCTCGTTTCGATGGTCCTCATCTATTTGCAGGACATGCAGATGCTGTTGTTCCGCGACGGCAGCTCTCTGGTGATGCAGCCACTGCACACATCACTTCCCTAGAAGAGAAGTTGAAAGCGGCAACCGAGTCATTGACGGCGGCGGGCAAGAAGCAGGCAGAGCTGACAAGGGAGTTGTCGATGATGAAGCTGGAGAAAGCGGAGGTGGAGACTATCATGGGTATAGACTTGCAGAACGCGGAGGAGACGATCAAAGCTCTGCAGAAGGAAACATCTCAACTCGAGGAGTTGGATGTTACAATGAAGAAATTGCAGGAGGAAAAAAGGACGTGGCTGGAAGAAAAAATAAGACTGGAGGATCAGGCGGCGAAAGTACAACAGATGGAGACTACGCGTGGAGCGCTAGAAGCTGATTCTGGAAAGCAACTAGAGGAAAGTAGGAGGCTATTGCAGGAGAAAGAGGAAGAGATTCGACGGACAAAGGGACAATGGCAAGCAGAAAGAGACGTGTGGGAGAGACGGAAGACTGAGCTTGAGGATGAGAAGATGGAGGATCTGGCTCGGCTACAACAAGAAATGGACAAGGCTCGGGATGAAGATGAACTAGCTCTTCAACGCGCGCATGGAGAACTCGACGCAGGACTTGAAGCGTTACGAGGATTGGTCAAGCAACATGGCATCGTGTTGTTTTCACGGAACCCATCGCTAGAAGGACTTTTATCATCTGTTGGTACACATCTAGAGACCGTGCACACGAAGTTGGAATCACATTCACGTACCGAAAGCGAGTGGGATACGTTACGGCGGAAGCTCGAAGAGGATGTTCGCGCAGGCTTAGACAAACGGGAATCATTGGCTCGCGATCTCGAAGATGCACGTCGTGAACGCGACGAGGCTCGACAAGACGTTCGCGCAGCAGCTGAGCGTTCGATTGCCAGAGATGCAAGTCCGTCTGTGTCTCCCTCAGACGACACCGAAATTGGACGCATCATACACACTCTCACGCCACTTTGGAATATCCTTCCTTCACCCGAAGCGCGTGCGGCGAAATTCAGTAATCAATCGAGGTATAGAACATCTTCACCCACACATAGCCCTGGCCCAACCAAGATGGTGTTGTCGCTTTCAGAGCTGGACGTGCGCTCGCTCAAGTCCTTATACGACTCAACGCGGCAGCCGACGTCGCCGGCTGTGGGTAGTGGCGAATTCTCAATCGAGGCGTTTGCGGCACGCGTGCAGGCACTTATTCAGGATGACCGGGCGTTGATAGAACGGCTACTGCGGTTTGCCCAGGCGCATGATTTGCTCAAAAAAAATGCGGAGCGTGCGCAGAAGTTGGCGCAAGAGGGAAATAATGCGCTGGAAACGTATCAGAAGCAGGTCCGGACGCTGGAGGAGAGAAATATGATGTTAGCTTCGAAGCAGGCTGTATTGTGAGTTTTGTGTGTCGTTCTCTTTTCCAGCCGATTTTGTTGACTATCAAACCCATAAAATAGGATCGAAGAAGTACAGCAACTTCAAAGTTCTCTTGAACGTGCTGAGAGCGAGAAGCGGGAAGTGGAGGTACTCGCTGCCGAGCAAGCAGAGACCTGCGCACAGTTGACGGAAGCCAACAACACCCTGAGCGCCCGAACTCTGACACTTGCAGAGGAGGCAGCGTCTGCGCCTGAGAAAGTGCGCAAACAACTCGAAGCACAACTGTCAGAGACTCGGACGGCGCTTCGACAGGTGCAAGACGAGGTTGATGCCATGCGGACGTCTGAACAGTCGCAGAGGATTGCATTACTGGATGAGCTCAATACAATGCAGAAGGAGAATGAATTTCTGAGAGCACAGTTACGAGCACGGAAGTAGCTTGGTTTTGACAATTTTCATTGGATTTAGCACAGAACATTCATTATTACCCTCTCCCAATAACTATCAGTGATCTGTATACCGCTGTTTTGTTTACATACCTGCAGTGTATTATTAGTTACATTCTTATTATTAGACATTATGTTTTCCATTCAGACTAATTATAACAGTTACCAGTACCTGTTATGGTAGATCTGTTTCACTGTAAGTAACTTTTCATGTGCGTTTTCCTTCTTGATTTCAAAAGATTAGCTCGTGGCGAGCCCGTGAATGATCGAATGTCTGCGAGTCCACAGCATAGGTTGATTAATGGACGTTCAGGGGTGTCGTTTATATGAAATCACAACTACAGTGACGTAGATATGGTTTATTAAGACCTCGACAGCTGCACACGAGAGGGTTGATCGGATCCAATTATATTGTCTCTGATGGGCACGGGTGTACATAGAAATATATGATTGCGATTAAGGCGGACTAGAGTGTGAACGCATTGTGATAGCTGGAGAGATATTCAAAATCGTGGTGACGAGGTCAAAAGTGGGCTGTTTTCAGCATTTGCACTCGTCAGACTTGCAAGTGCAGCTAATAAGAAGTAAAGAGTCAATTGTCATTAAGAATCGCTAGATTTAATTGACGTACCCAGCGCCACATTTGCAAGACGGGACGCCGCATTTAGCTTGGTCAGTGGAAGCTGAGCTGGCCTGGCGAAGATCCATCAGAACAAGGACTAAGCAACGATGGAAAAGGGACTTACAGTGATCATGATGTGGGTTGAGCAAGCGGTAGCTTTCTTGGAAAAGTAGTGGAAGTGACTATTAATGGTTGGTGTCAAGCTGATACTCGCCAGCTCAGTCAGACTCTCTTATACTCTTCGACTTCGGAGTCTAATCATAGACATCTACCTCCAGTAAATCACTCACCATTCAGAAATACGCGCATTCGCCTCCAAAAAATCGCTCATTACCCCAGCGTATCATCCAAAAATCTGCGCATGGACTGCGGTTTGCGCTCCAAAAAATCGCTCACTATGCCGAGCGGCCCGACCAAAGTTGATTACCAAGCAGATCCCGGCTGCAGTTGTAAGCAGCTTGTTTAGGAACTTGGGTTGCGTGCGACTTTCTCTCCATATCAATAGCTGGATTTGGCATCTCTACTTGGCTCATTGATTTCTCGTCTGGTTTGACTCGAAAATTATTCCGTTGTAACAAGCGGGAAAACCACTGTGGTTTTCACTTACGATTGCTTTTCAAAGTTATTTTAGCTAGCTCATGGCGAGACCGTAGATGATCTTTCTATCAGTTTCATTATAATTAATGAATTAGGTCCCGACATGAAGGGGTTTTGTAAAAAAACAAGTGAGTATTAGGGCATATTGAAGGCATGTATGTTCGTGGGATTTTCTAAACTAAATGTTCATGACCACCTCCGAGTCGACCACTGCACACGAAATGGTTGATCCAACTATAATTGTTTCTGATGTGAGGGACGGGCGTACAATAGAAATATATGAGGTCACGACTAGAATGTGAACGTATTGTGATATCTATGTAGCTGTTCAAAACCATGGTTACTGAGGTTAAAGTGGGCCGTGTTCAGCATTTGCATTCGTCATGCTTGCAAGTACAGCTAATGAAGAATAGAGAGTCACTAGTTCACTCCATGAAGAATCGTCCAATCTGATTGACGTACCCAGCGCCACAATTGCAAGACGCAACGCCGCAGTTAGATTGGCCAATGGAGGCTGAGCTGGCCTGGCAAATATCCATTAGGGCAACAGCGAAGCATGGATAAGACAGGAACTTACAGTGAGCATGATGTGGTCGGTATTTCTTTGAAAAGTAGTGGAAGTGGGTGCTGATGATTGGTGTCCTGATACTCACCAGCCCAGTCAGGTTGTCTTTTATACTCTTCGAGTCTGTTTATAGTAGATACGCCCAGTAAATCGCTCACCATCCGGAAATCTACGCATGATTAAGCTTCGTCTCCAAAAATTGGATGCTGAGCCCAAGTACCACAACCGCCAAGAACAGCAAAGAGCATGATCAGGAAGACCACGCCTGAAGAAAACTCCTTCGAGCTGGCCAAGCGAACTATAAGGATAATAATAACATTAGCCCAAACCATGATATCGAAAAGAAAAATGGACTTTTGTTAACCCCTGGCGGGACTCGAACCCGCAACCTCCAGATGAGAATATTATAGAAGTCTGACGTCATAACCATTAGACAACAGGGGCTTATTGTGGATGGTCTGACGTACATTGACAGTTTCCCCCTTGCTTCTTCCATCGATTTCTCCCGTAAGTCGAACGTGTCCAGTTTCTTTTGCCTCTTAAAGCCATGAACGACCCTCAAGAGCCAGCGCCGTCGCCTTCACTGACGAACTTGACTCTCTCATCGTCGCCGGACTCGGTTCCGAATCGTACGGAGCCTATTCCTGCACCATCTGTCCGCCGCCGCCGCTCCACCAGCAGCGATGCTAGTGACCTTACTGCCCGTCTTCGTCATTCCCCCATCCTGGCTCGGTCCTTTGACCCTGAGGCTCGTGAGCGTCAACGTACAATGGACGTCGACATGGCCATGCAACTTTCTCGTGCCCGTAGAGAAACAGTCTCTGGTTCTCCGGAAATATCACCCCTACCCGAACATCGTGAAGAGGGGGAGCACAATTTACATTTTGCTGACATCGCTGTTCAATCTGATCCTGAGGATGAAAGTATTGGAATCACTCCTCATGCTTCGCGTCTTGATTTGAAAATGCACCTCAACACAATGCACGATGCTTCTCTATTGGCGCATGCACCACCCTTGAATCATGATACGAACACCGAATCACTCTATGGCCTTCCCACATACCAAGCTAACATGTCTAGTTCTGAGTTTGACTTCACTCCTATGGAGGAATTTGCTGCTGTTGAAAAGGCAGCTTTCGGTATCGCTGCTTCACCGACCCCAAAGTTTATTCTGGATGCAATTCCAAGACGTTTTCCACCCTCAGGGCGAGATCCAAGCGAAGCAGGCCCTTCCAATCTTCCTGACCAGCTGTTTACGCCCATTCAATCACCTGAAACCGATGGAGAAGATCTGTCAAGGCCCGGTCCAAGCCCCGGACGTCAGCGCAAACTCAGCCATTCTCATCCCCATCCGCGCATTCAACGTAAAGGAATCGGAGGTAAAATGGCCCTTTTTGAAAACCTTCATGATCCGTTCTCTGGTGGAACACCTTCTTTAGGCGGTCATACGGGCCTCTCCATAGCTTCTCGTCTATCAGGTGGCTTTGGTCGACATACTACCTTGAACTCCGACGCAGGCGCACAACCACCTACCCTTTCTGGCATCCTCAATGCAGGCCATGACCGGCCATACCGCTTCTCATTCTATTCAAATGCTCTTGCGGCAACGATTCATGCGCGTAGCCTCAGTGAGCTCCCAGCTGACGGCCAAACCTTTGAACAGTTGTTTGTTGGAGTACATCCAGAAGGGAGTAGAGGACATGAGCATGCGCCACCTCCATTCCGTGAGGGGTACTCCAACGGAGCGAACAACGGCAATAATGGAAACCGTAAATCTGTTTCTGACTCCAAGTCAGCGATTAGGCTAGGCCCTGTGGGAAATAATGGAAGTGTCGGCGATTCAGATGACAGGACATGGTGGTTGGATGTTTTGTCACCCACGGATGAGGGGATGAAAATGCTCAGTAAGGTGCGTATATTATACTATTCGTCCTTCCCAAATCTTTTGACGTGGATTTGCTATAGGTGTTTTCTATCCATCCTCTGACGACAGAAGACATTCAGATGGAGGAAACGCGTGAAAAAATCGAGCTTTTCCGCAACTATTATCTCGTGTGTTTCCGCAGTTTTGATCAAGACCAATATAGCCCTACATATCTCGAACCTTTGAACATGTATATTATCGTCTTCCGCGAGGGCATCCTTTCCGTACGTATTGTATCGACTTTTCACCTTTTCACTGGAATATCATTAACTTTCCGTTCAGTTCCATTTTCGACCAACACCTCATCCACAAAACGTCCGGAGGCGTATTAAACAGTTGAAGGACTATATCGCTGTCACATCTGACTGGATATCCTATGCACTAATCGATGACATCACCGATGCTTTTGGTCCACTTATCCAAAACATCGAGTACGAAGTCGATTCCATTGATGAGCTTGTGCTCATACTCAAGGAGGCCGAGCAAAGTGACATGTTGAGGAGGATTGGCACGTGCCGGAAGAAGGTCATGGGTTTGTTGCGGTTGATGGGCAACAAGGCCGACGTCGTAAAAGGATTAGCAAAGAGATGCAATGAGAATTGGAGAGTGGCTCCCACGTCTGACATTGTAAGTCGTGATAACTTGTTGATAATTCCTCCCTATTCATTCGCGATGCAGGGCCTCTACCTTTCAGATATCCAGGTAAGCCCCCGACTTTGTGAGGACGCTTGAACCATTCTTATCTTGCACATGCAGGACCATTTGATTACAATGACGCAGAACTTGAATCACTACGAAAAGATTCTATCTCGTTCACACTCCAACTACCTCGCTCAGATCTCTATCGAGATGACGGATGCAAACAATCAGATCAACGATGTTCTTTCCAAGCTCACTGCACTCGGTACTGTGCTGATTCCGATGAACTTGGTGACTGGTTTGTGGGGTATGAATGTACATGTACCAGGACAAGATATTGAAGCGGTGTGTGCTTAAACTTGTTGAAGAGGCGCAATCTTGACAAAAAATCACAGGGGTATACGTGGTTTATCTCAATTGTAGCCTGTCTGGCTGCTTTTGCACTGGTTGGTGGTTATTCCACTTATCGTTTCATGGTTAGCCGGTCGTAGAATTTTACTCTATTGGATGGTGTTTATAGTGAGTGTGTGGACGGACTGACATATCTCCCCTTCAATGCCGTGTACGTCCTTTCGCGATATATATATCGCTGTAGACTATCTTTGTTATAGGGCTTATTAGGTAATTATACACGATCATCAGACTTCAATGTACACGATTATCCATAGTTTCGCGCTGTGTATTCGAGACCTAATCATAATATATATCACTTATACATATGCTATCTGTTAGGCGGGTTGTAATTAGGGGCTCCCTGCGCTGAGAATACGATCCCCAAAGCAGGACAGATATAATATGTAAGTGAAAACAAGTGGTATAAATGTTATGAAGGATATAAGGAACAATGGAATCGTGTAATGAATGATAATAAGACAATTAAAATCTGGTGTAGTGTACTCACATGAGAACTTGTTAGAATACTTTGTTTGTCACATGGGCCCTTGTTCAAATATTCTATTTGACAAGAAGGTGTGAGCCCTTGTAAAATGATTTTGTTTGTCAAAAGGTGTGGGTAGGGTGGGTGAAACAGAGCTGATCCAACGCCTACGCGTCCCACACGACGCGTTGATGGAGGTTGGTAACTGACAGCTCACGGTCACGTATTCGTCACACGTCAAAATACGTCTCTCCTCCTCCCGTGCCTCCATCCGTATAGACGTTATTTCGTGCTGTGTATTCGAGACCTAATAATAATATATATCACTTATACATATGCTATCTGTTAGTGATGCGAAATGTAAGTTTGATGCCGTCAATTGATCAGATCAACTGATCAAACTTTCTATTCACAGTTGTTCGAGGGCTTAGTTACACGCAATCCCACGTAGCGTAGAACGAGAATTGATATTTTTATGATTTTATTTAATGATTGAGACGGTCTCGCACAAATAAATGGGCTCAATAGTATATTAAACTGATCCCGAAGCAACTAGTAACTCGTAGGCCTAAGAGATCCGCTCCCTAGGGTATCTCCGAGCCGTGGTACGTAGATTGCCTAGCCATCCTCCCCAAAACCTCGCTCCTTTTATACCTTTCCTATACACGCACGGACCATTGTGCCCCGCGTGGTATCGGTCGATGTCCTAGTCATTTTCCACGCCTATTTTCCACTTAAACTCTTTTCCAGCCTCTTTTCCTCCCATCTTTTCCTTCTTTTTCGTGACTTTGGCAGCTTCGGGGGTGCTTACAGCAGGTTCGACAATATTGGTGGTTAGGATGGCAAGGCAAATGCATTATTTCGAAATAGGTGGTCATGAGAGGGTGTTTTGTGGTATGTAGATTACCAGGCCTAGATGACTGATCCCAGATTATGATCTGTGATTGCCGTCTCGGCTCGGTACAGCCACTAGCTCAGTCATTAGTCATTTAATTGACTTTTTGACCTTGACGTGTGCCTTTGGGCTTGTTATCTCAGTATTGCATTCTTTAGGGAGTCTTTCAGTGATTCTTCTTTCAGGTAAATCTTTCTGTGTCTACAGTTTTTAACACTTGGCTTACAGTTTTCAGCCATTTTAAGATTTACTTCTGGAGGCCAGCATATCATTAGGTGGGTTGTAATTGTTTGAGCTCCTATTTTCTTGATGATTAGGGGTTTCCTGTGCTGAGAATACAATCCCCACCTCCACACACTGGAGGTGAAGCAAAGCAAGGATAACCCCCCCCCATCTGGCTAACAACAATCAAGGTATGATAAAACCAGTCTCAGCAGTTCCACATACATTGGTGCCATCACTTACAATGATCTCCAATATCTCAAGAAAGAATCAGAAGTCTACCTTCCCAAAAGTTTTATAATATCAGGAGGGGCCCCCACCAAAAGTAGAGCTGTGGTACCACCTATTCAAAAACAATGGGCCAGAGATAGTAGGCAAAAGAGCCACTTCCAGAATTGGATTCAAATGTTTGAGCAACCTTCTTGTCACCAAAGCTATTCTCATGCAATCAGGGCCTTTGTACATGGCAATGGGTTTGTCCATATGAACTTTATTTGTATGAGCATGAATCAATAAGGCTGCTATAGGGTCAAACAATCCATGTTGGCAAGTGACAATCACTGTCTCTCCTTTAGTTTTACCCCATTTAGTGTGAGGCAAATGAAGCATGCATGATTCAACATCATTAGTGTCAGGTTCCGCTGACCACGGGGGCTCAGCTACACTGGGCAAGTCCTTACTAGGCGGACATGATTCCCTGCACTGACAACCAGGCACTCGGAGGTGTTCCAAACACTGGGGACTTGTGAGGATAGTTAGTGGAAATTGATCTGAGCAAGTCCGGGGAGGTCCGGAGGAGTAGAGGATGAGTTGCGGGGAAGGGGGACAGGCTTGGCAGGGTTCAGGCATAAGTCTGTGTGTGAGTATTGTGGGTGCAGAGGAGGTGG